GTCGTCACCTGACGGTTGAGAAAATACCTCATGAAAGAGCCTGTAAAGAAAGGCGCTGAAAAGAAAGGCGCCTGAAAAGAAAGGCGCTATACAATATAAGTAACAAGTAAGAAGTAGTGCAATTAAATGTTGAATTTGTAACCAAGCGTCAATCTTGTTTTGATTTTATATTGCTTTGCCTCTGCTTCGAGCACTGTTGTGTAAATTATCTAGTTTCAACCTACACTGCATAACATAGGCCTATGAATACATGAATCAATGAATGTGGAAAAATATATTTTGTTGATGTTTCTCCATATCGTGTAGATATAATTTGTATGTTATTGTTACTCACTCTGGTAATGGGCACCTTCTTTGATTGCATCTCGATCTGTAATCATTTTGATTAAAATCTTTTTGACCACAATGTGACTTGTCCACTTTCTTTCGGTCAGAATCACGAAGACATTGGTATCGGTAAAACGTCCAGCCTGAAAAAAATATCATAAGTATACATTTTAAATTGTTTTCTTAGGATTAATGTAATTGCGCAATGAGATAAGGTAATTGGAATTGTCACAAATTAATTATGTTGAAGTTTCTATGTTTTTTAACTGTAAATGTTTGATGAAATGTCAATATAGGGCTATTAGTAACCATTCTTAGCCTATTGTATGATGTAATATAATTGTTACAAACAATGTGGATGTTTTTATATTTAACTGTAAATATTGTAATTAAAATAATGGTTGCATTTTTATTTAGGCCTAAGCTAATTATAAGGATTTTTACTTTGCGAAAAATCCAAATTGGAAGTGACGCAATATAAATAAAATACGGTACAACATTTGCTTGTTATTGCTAGTGTTTATTACTGCTATTGCCAATGCTATCGCTATTGTCATTGCTATAGTTACCATTGTCATTGCTATTTCTATTGCTATTTTTATGGCATACCTCCTTCGCATGTCTTGCTACATTTGGACCATCCCATACCAATCCATGAGTATGTTTCCGGATCCTCTGTCGTGCCAATAACAGACTCTACCATTGAATCTTTATGTACGGAATAACTATAAGTTACATCGGCTATAGTGTTCTTTTCAACGTCGACAGGACTAACCTAAAATTATGGAATGCAAATATGATACAGCTATCTTAGTTAATCACCAAAGATACTAGAAACACAAGATAGAATTCTCCACAGAAAAAAAAAACTGTTCCTCCGAAATGCAATGTGGGAATACAAACAATGGGGCGCCGCGTACGGCTGGATCTAAAAAAAATTGTTGCCATTATCCAGCCATTATCCATAAGATACAACAAGAGTAGGCATTTAAATAAATCAAAATAATAAAATGACAGACACCAAAGCGCAGAAACGTATGACCGGACCCTGATTAGTGATAACGTTTTCCTCCATTAATAAAAAAGAAGGGCGCCGTGTGCGTCTGGATATACTTAGCAACAGAAGGGCGCCCTATCCGTCTGGACCAAGTATAGAAAACTTGCATTATAAAAAAAGAAGGGCGCCGCGTACGTTTGGACCAATTTTCGTCTCATTTTGGCTATGCGAGTGCTCTATCTTGTATTTATAGTATCTATGTTAATCACTAACTTGATGTTTTGGTTTTTTTTAATTTATGAATAATATCATACTTGAGTTACCAGTGTGTGTGTGTGTGTGTGTGTGTGTGTGTGTGTGTGTGTGGTTTTCTTATACAAATAGTAAGTGGTAATGATAACGGGTGTAAAACAAAGGTTAAAAGCCCTCACTACAAGAGGTGCAGCTTAGGCTCTAAGTATAACCTTGAGGAAATTGAACAAAGAAATCACCAACTTATTTCAAAGACTGCAGCACAGAAATTTAAGTAAAACTAAAATTATGAGCAAAAATAACAAGAGCAACGCAAAATATTGTAAAATAAAAGATTTGGTGTGTTTACCAAAATATGGTTATGATCAATAAAAAGCCTATATGAAATCAAATTGGAATATGCAATTAGATGCCCTGTGATACATGTAATAATATAAAATATAAGGTATTTAAATTATTACATTTATTTAACATTTTCGGAGACTTACAGAAACTTCTATGTCGATATTCATTGGTCCCTTTGCCGCAATCTGTTGTTGAATGTCATTCGTTGTGATGATAAACAT